ATTGGCTATCCTTTTTTATTTTGAAGTGACAAGTTGTGGTGTCATGTGTTGTGTTTATGTTTTATGTTTGTCGTTTGTGTATGTAATCCTTCGTTATATTTCATCTTTTTCAACAAAGCCGCTGACTAATCACTCAACATGTTGAGTGCTGGTGAACGCGGTCATTCTCACATAAGGAATACGGGAGTGTGGAGTTGAGAGACGAGAAGAAAAATGTAAATTTAAGTTTCTCCTACCCTACGAGTCGTGCGTCTAAAGTGAAGGTTTTGCTGTTGACGGTGCTGTCTTAAGATTTCGTTGCAACATAATAATTAAAAATTGAAATTATTTTCAACGCGAAAGGAATCTTTAGAAGTAAAAATAGTTTGAATTGAAGCGAAAAATAAATTATAAAATAATAAACATAATCTATCATCTATCATTCAAATTTGATGGTCGATTTTTCTCTCGTTTTTCATACCACCGTCTATTTGATGTCGATACGAAATTCGACAATAATACATATGAATCACTCTCCATCCGATATTGAAATAGGTATCGAATGACAGCTAGCGAGCCATAGCGACTTGTGACAAGATAAGAATCCCCTAGGTGATAATCCAATATGAGTTGGTGTGACTCCCTACGATTGTACGTCAATGGTCACCTGATCTCACACCTGTTTTTTAACGTATCCTTCCTTCTTTTGCTCCCCATACGGAAAGTGTCGACTTAAAAAAGCTTAACAATATAGTATTCGATGGCCTATCCTAATATTGAGCACAATGCTCTCGTTGAATTTTGTTTAAATTATTATAGCCTAACCTAGTCTAGAGGTCATAAATAAAAAGCAGAAAAATATAATAACAAAAGTTTTATTTAGCAGAAAATTTACAACTTCATAATTTAGGTTCTACGTTCGGGTTTTGCAAAATAATGAGATGGTATTCCTTTTTTGTTCAACAAATTGTGAAAATTCGCAAGGCAAACAAAGTCGATTAGGTATATCAGTTTCACCCTTACATCTGGGGCATGTATACTTAATGCGGATTGGCATTGTAAACAGTATCAAGTCTATCAACGTAATGCTTCATTTCAATGAGAAAGTCTCCTGTTATACAATTTTGAAGTTTGATAATTGTTACTAATGTGGCATGTTTTGAATAGACTCCTGTGATAACACTTGGAACTTTGGGAGACTTGGGTAGCATTCGAATACTAGCTATTTTGAATCCTATTCGAATCCTGTATTGGAATCCTATGGAAAGAGACCCGATGTCTGTTGAATCAGAAAAAAGTATAGTGCAACTTTGTGCTCATTATTATGTCTGCTTTGATATTTCAAAAATTCCGATTGCTGTCCAGAAATATCCGGAAAACCTCGAAATTCGCCAGAAATGATTTTATTTTTCCAATAACGCTTGTCAATAATAGGCAATCCTCCTTACGCTTATAATCCTTGATTTGCGTCAATATCGGCGCTTGTCAATAATGGGCAGTCCTCTCGACGCTTATAATCCTTGGTTTGTGTCAATCAATAGCTGTCTTTCTCTGTTCCTTTACGTTACATCTTTCTTCTCTCTCGAGTAACGAAATTTGCCCGTGACGCGTTTTTCAAATCACTCTCCATTGTCGTCCAAATAGCAGAAAGCCGTTTAAGAAGTTTCTTTTCAAAAATTATTGAAATGAAAATAATCTTGATACAATTTTGGAACATAATAAAAAGTTGTATGATATTATGTTAAGTGTGTGCTGGCGCTATTTGACTGTGAGTTGGTGGTATAACAGAGATCAATCAATGGTGGCTTCATCTCTGTCATTCTCAGGAGAATAAAACATAGTTTATACTAAAGCTTATTTTTATTCTCAACAATCATTGCCAATATGGTTAATAGGACTGTGAGTGCGGACTACCATCTATAAATTGTAGCAATATTCATAATTATAAAAATGAAATACGTCTTTATCGTCACCCTTGAATATTTTTTTTTTTTTTTTTTTTTTTTTTTTCAATAGATATTGAGTATTTAAATAGAAACAGATCCCCAAATTTCCGCATACTTTTTTCCTCAACCCATGTTATTTGTGGATGAAATGAATTAAAAATTCCACCACATTGATTGCAGATGTTCGGCAACTCCCATGACGTTACAGGTTATCCTGGTACTGGCAGATATGAATAGGCTTTTAGAGGGTTATGATCCTATTGATACTTATATTTAGAGCTTAAAGTTGTTGGAGCGTCCAGCCTGTAAGAGACATTGTTTAGTATATAACACTGCAATTGAAATGATACACACCGCTTTCTTTTTCCTAGAATTCTGTGAACTTTTTGTTTAGGATAACTGAAAACCTAAATGACCAAATTTATTTATGAGCAGGGGGGTGGTAGTGGCAGCCGGTATCCACTTCCAGTTTCAACTTGAAAGTGGTTGTCATATTTTAGTCCTCTATGTTATTCCATAGTTACCCTGATTTGTTGAAGGGAAAAACTAGTTTTAAAACCCCTTCTTCTCGTTTACGTGTACGCATGTTTGTTGAATTCGGTGGGTCGGTTGCTCAAGAATGTGCGAAGTTAGTTTTTCTCATATCCTTGTGCTATTTAACTGTTTGCTCTAAATAATTTTTTCGCAAACGCATTTTCTGCTATCCTGGTAAGTGTGTCATAAAATCATTCAGTCCTCCGTCCATCCTAATACTGAATAGGTATGCCACAGCTAATTTCAAAACGTGCTTCACGCTGATAGGGTCCTGCTTTGGATGAAAGCGGCTATGTTGCAATTCGGTTCTTGAAGAGATGTTTTGACAAGACTAACGTCTTCCTCCTGCTTCAACAGGTGTTGGCTCGGTGCTAGAGACACCGAAGATGACCAACTCATTGATTTATCGGATTCTCCAAGTCGCAATTCTCACACCACCGGCATGTGGCTGATATTGAAAGTCCTGAAAATAATTGAATTAGATTTAAAAAATTCGATTAATGTCAACTTACCAGCAAAAGTCTAGCTTGCTTCATCATGGGGGCGGCGGGGATCTCCAGCCTTTCGTTTGGAGGCTCTCTTGGAGCTGGGTGTTTTGGTGGTGTTGGATAGCCCCCTCTGCTTCAAAAATCCCACCACATTGGTTACAGATCTTGGAAGATGTTTAGCAATCCTCATGATGTTTCAGGTTATCTCCTTCCTGGTGAACCATTTTGTACACAAAATTAAAAATTCGCTGTTTATGGAGGTTTGTTTTAAAGTAAATGAAAAAATAAAACCAGTTTAAATTGGTTAAAGAACCTACCTAAATTTTAGAAAAAGAAATTTGAGTTTTGTGCAAATGTAAGTGAAAAAAGTAAATTCAAGTTGCTGGCTAAAAAACTATTGGAATTAAATTAAGAAATAGGTAGGTACTCAGGGTTGTCCTGTATTTTTAAAAAACATACAATATATTTATGTGTTAAGGAAAATAAAAATAATTCAAAAATCGAGGTTTGTGTTAATTCAAAATATGTCTCGGGGGCATGATTTATCCTACATCACTTAGATATTTAAAAATAGTACTTACAGTTTTTTCGAAACCGACACTTATGGCCCAAAAAACTAAACTTTGAAAATCCAGGTTCAAAGTACTGGTACTGGATGCTGCGTTTTTTGTACAAAGAAAAAAAAAATTGAATCCTCATATTTTACAGGTAACAATGTATCCACTGAAATTTTGTATTGCATAAGGGTATTGGCTCATAAAATGTCAACGATGCTAATTTAAATCTATTCTTTTAAATTCTGATAAATTGTTTGAATTTGTCACCTTTTAAAATAAAAATGGACATATTAATACCTATCTAACTTAATAATTACGCCTTAAACTAAAGAATTATCTTTAAAATGTGTTGTTGTTTTTTCTCGGGCGATTTCTGCGAACGGTCCTGATATAATTCAGATAAAAAAAACTGCAGATTAAGCGTTTGCATTTTAGCGGTGTTTTTTGTATGTGATACTTCGAAGTTTAAATCGGATTTTATAATAACAAGCTTCTTTCAGTCTCGCTCAAACTGGTCACCAGTGAAAAATATAAAATTTTTGCACAACAATTAATTTGATTTTAACCAAGTAAGTAAAATATCTTATATACTAATATCAATCAACAACAAGACCTGTCTTTTCCTAGCAAAGGATTGAAAACACTGAGAAAATTACAAGACCTGAAGCCTCATAGAAAGTGAAATTTCCAATATTTTGACAGCGTTTTTTGTATGTTATGTTGTTAATTCGAAGTTTGAATCGGATTTTATAATAATTAAGCTCTTTCAGTCTTGTTTGAGACTCGTCAACAACAATAAAATTATTGCACAACAATTATCATTTTAACCAAGTAAGTGAATATCTTATATATACTGATATCGATAGAATTATGGAATATTTTTAGATATGGATTTGAAATCAATCAACAAGGTCTGTCTTTTTATAACAAAGGATCAAAAACACTGAGAAAATTATAAGATCTGGTATAAAGTGAAAGTTCCCAATATTTTCTACGATAGAGACCTCAAAATAATTGCAAATCTTTACTGGAACCAATAAACTATACAAATTAAGGTAGATCATAAAACTATTGTACAGAAATTATTATTTTAACCTAGTAAGTAAATATCTTATATACTTAGGTAATCGATACAATTGTGGCATATTTTTAGCTATGGATTTGAAATACTCGTTGAATTTGACGATAACGCAGTGTTTCTCCCAAGACGTAGGTACCATCAAAATGATTGGATCATATTAAGCAGTTTATTGATGGAAAATATTCGCTATGTCTTAAAAAAATAAAAAAACGAGGCCCCTTTCCCATCAAACGTTGGTTCCAACCAAGGATAATACACACTACTACTACAGGATAGCCTATCCTCATAAGGCCTGTGTGGAACAAATCCACTCTCTCCCCAACGTTAAATCACCAGTTGTGACGTAAGCAGCATGTTATTTCTCGCCTTGACGTAGGTTGTTTAAACAGCTGATGACTTAGTTATGGCGTCGTAAATGGTAACACACGAGGTCAATGAGCAATACTGTAGGTGTGTATCATCCTTAAGTTCGAACACCCTCTACCAGGTACAACATGAAGCTAGCTGCTGGACCCTCATAGTTACGTCACCACCACAGCATCCTGTTATAAGACACATCAAACTTGACACATGTACTCTAAATGGCGCCACGGACGTGACCCAGGTCGCTATGAGGTCATCACAGAACCCGAACCATGAATCGAACTTTGCACTATGTACTCTAAATGGCGCCACGGACCCGCACTGACGTAACCCACGTGACCCAGGTCGCTATGACGTCATCACAGAACCATGAAACGAACTTCGCACTATGTACTCTAAATGGCGCCACGAACGTGACCCAGGTCGCTATGACGTCATCACAGAACCTGAACCCTGAATCATACTTTGCACTATGTACTCTAAATGACTCCACGGACGTGACCCAGGTCGCTATGACGTCATCACAGAACCCGAACCATGAATCAAACTTTGCACTATGTACTCTAAATGACTCCACGGACGTGACCCAGGTCGCTATGACGTCATCACAAAACCCGGAACGACTCAAAACTCCCGCTATGACGTCATGACGTTTGACAGATGACGTTTGACAGATGACGTTTGACAGGTGACGTTTGATAGATGACGTTTGACAGGTGACGGTTGATAAGATGGCGGGCAAACATTTCCCCCCCACCCCTTTTTCTGGTACCCATATTAAAATCCGGGGGCCCCTTTTTGGGGGGCGGAGCCCTGCGGGCCCCCTTTTTGGGGGGCGGAGCCCTGCGGACCCCCTTTTTGGGGGGCAGAGCCCTGCGGGAGCAGGTCCCATGGCGCCATCTGTCGACAAGATGGGGCCATGGCGGCGCATCCACCTTCAAGTCAACGACGGCGCATCCACCACGTGTCAAGAATGAAAGATTGAGGTTATGGTCGGATTTTTATAGTCATACCCCCTTTGACTATCTACTAAAATCCATAGGTTATGTTGTACAATGCAAGCGATTTTTTCGCGAGACGAGATCAGACGAGACGAGACGAGACTCTCTACGACTCTCGTCTCGTCTCGAGTTAATCTCGAGGTCGAGACGAGACGAGATTGATGCTCAGGCGAGACGAGACGAGATCAACCGCTAATCTCGTCTCGTCTCGTCTCGTCTCGCGGCATCACTAGAGTGAACTTCCGAAAGGTTGTATACCTAAATCTTCACCAGTGCGCACTTCAAATGTGCAAAAAAAAATATGAAAACCCAGTTCTACCAAGATCCAAACGAGACATTAAACGACCTACTTATTGCTGTTAGTCAAATTTCGTGTACGGAATGTACTCGAATGAATCCCAAAATAGGACTCGCAGGAGAGTCCAGTGGCAACGGCTGTCAAGAAGGGAGTCGACTCTCTTGGGCAGATGAAACATGGAACATAGACCTGAATAGTATTGCCTGCTCAGTCACAAAGTAATAAATAACCTAAAGTGCGTAGAGTGGCGTAGCGTGTCCGTTACTTCATGTCCTCGAACCAATGAAGTAGTAGGAAGGTTTGGAATGGGCTTCGCGTCACCCAAATGATTCCAGGATGAGATAGCGCTAGTAAGGGCAGAAAATCTATTGGATCTCCCGTATCTCTCACTCTAACCCTGAGTGATATAGAGCTAGTAAGGACAAAAAATCTCACGGATCTTTCTCGTTCTGTCAATCTTATGTTGGCCGCAAATATACGTATTGAGTAGATAGGCAAGGGGCCCTTCCAAATTTTCTTACGACTTCATTGCCTCGAACTCATAACAGAACAATTAGGTACTATTGATATTAGGTATTATACCGGAAAATAACTTCAAACTTACTCCTTTCATATCAATGACCACTACAAGTCCGCTAGGTAAGTTTCTTTCCTGAGTTATATCCAAAAGCATATAACTAATTTTCATGATGGGAATCAAATCAAAGGCTCTGTAATGTGAATCGTTTAGTCTGAAGTAGTGGACTGCATAGTTTTCGTCAGTACGAACTGGTATACTGCTCAACTGTCTGAAATAAGTGGAATAAACTCAATTTTTTGTAATGGTTTTAGTTTTTAATCCTTTAAACAACCATATGATGATGTAAATATCTGTTGAGAAATATCATAAATATTTATACTGGTGGCAATACACTAAACTATTTGAACTTAATCAGATCGGGTAGGGCATGAATGATTGAAAACTACTTAACTTACAAAAATACATTTCATAGGTTAATTATTATTGAAACTCTTACATAGTATTCATTCCCTTTTTGATATCCTCCCTGTCCATTTCTCTATTATCATAAAGTTCCGGTCCTTCCTGTTTACATTTATAATACATAGTGATCGTGTTTTTTGTCAAATCCAAATCGTTATCACATGATAGTAAAAAAATCACTATCATTTCATCCTGGACTCCTGGAAGGAAATTATTGGGTGGTAAACTTGATAACCATGCTTTGATATTGTCCAGATTTTCCTGGGTGGTTCTTCCTTGACTTATTATTTCTTTTGCGGTGAAGAAAAATGGAAGTTTTTGCATAATGAAATCTTTAGTAACAGCAACTAAATAGTACAAACACAAGTAGCTTTTTGAATGGAGTAAATATTTAACAAATCACTGATCGTTTCGTCAAACGATAATGATGAACATAATTGAAATAATGGATGCCTTGGTTTAATAAGTGATTCTGAATATTTAATAAGGCATTCTATGTAAATAAATTGAACGCTAAGTAGGTACTAAATTGACGAAATAATTGGCAAACACCTATTCTACTGCATTAGGAATCTTATAAATACCAAAAATAAATAATTGCTCTTAATCACAGCACACCACAGTGGCGGATCGGCCAGTTAGTACTGGGCCTATCCATCGTTTTATATGGGTAACGTTCAACAAATTAGAGACAAGCTGAAATTTGGTAATAGACTTTGTTTTAGGGTACTTAATACCCTCTAAAATCCCAGCGCCGAGGCGTTGAGCCCATCATCCTAAAACCACCCCCTAAGTGGGGTGAAATCTACCTTTTTTTACATTTTTCCTAATATAACTCCAAAACTAAGCATTTTAGGTGAAAAATGTCCGGAGAGAAAAATTGTAGAGAGGAATATATCCTACCAAATAGACGTACCTACATCAGTTTTTTTCAGATCTTCAATGGCGTAGATATTAGGTATTTAATTAAAGGGATTTTTCTAAAAACCCTACCTATTTATTTTTAACCTTAAAATGGGCATGTAGGTAGTTTGTTTACCTAACCTATAAACGCTGAATCGTTCCGTTTAAGAAGTAATTTTTGCCATGATGCAAGATTCCAGAAGCGGATTTTCAGTTATATTTAGGGTATTTCTGATTACCTATGTTTTATTGATTTTTATTAATGTCATACCAAACCTCTTAAAGGTGACAGTAAAAAGTGACAGAGGATAAAAACTCGGGCAAGAGTTAAAAATAGTTTTGAGATCGGTTATCAATAGCGACCCCAGTAGCACAACAATATTGGTAAAATATTATATTTACATATTGGCCCAAGAATGGAAACGACAGTTTTTTTTTTTTTTTGCCCAATATATATTGTAAATATGAATCCGATATTGGAGAAAAATATTGTCCCAATATTGCTAATTAATAAACATGTAATATTGCTTTTAGAAATATATCCAATATTTGTTTTTCAGATTGGCACAATGTATACTTTTTATATGAATCCGATAGTGAATATATTTCTCCAATATTACCAATAAATAAATATGAAATATTTCTTCTAGAAATATTTACAATATTTTCTAGAAATATTTACAATATTTTTTTGGAAAAACACATGTATTTAACCAAAGCTCCAACACCTGCAGACTAGACCGGTTTCCGGCTTCGAGCTTGGGAGCGAAGCACACCAACTTAAAGAAACAGGTTTGAAGGAAACTCAAACATTAGGAAAGAGCAAGGCCATCAGTAGCGCGTGGTGCCCTCTCTCGGTAGTCCTGATTGATATGGAAAAGGTACATCTTCTATATATCACCAATATTGGATAAATATTAAATATAAACATGAATAAAAGATATTGCCAAACATGGATTGGATCCAATATTGGATCAATCTTGGATTCACATATTATATAATAATAATGTAGGAAAAAGATTAATCTTTAATATATTACCAATATTGGCTACAAATTGCTAATATTGGACCCATATACAATATTTTACCAATATAGAATCAATATTTAGCTAATATGGATAAACCAAATCCAATATTGGCTTAATAATGCAAATAAAAACATTATCTGTGCATATTGGTCCATTAATGGATATAATACTATGGTAATATTAGAAAAAGTTGTATTGCCAATAATCCACCAATTTTGTCTAAATAATGTCAATGAAGATATTTTTTCTGCATATTAGTCCATTCTTAAGTAAATATAATATTACAATGTGGAAAAATATGTATTGCCAATATGTAACCAATCTTGGCTATATGCTGCCGATAAAAATATTGTTTGTGCATATTGGCCCATTCTTGGATAAATATATTATTATAATGATGAAAGAAGTTGTATTGCCAATAAATGTCCAATGTTGACTAAAAAATTCCAATATTGGGCCAACATACAATATTGGTCTAATGTATCCGCAACATGGGACCAACATGGTGTGCTACTGGGGGAATCACCTCCGGGTTGCAGTTGCAATGTTTACCCTGGGGTTATGCTTAACACGGGGGTGACTTGCTATTGAGAAACCGGCCCTAACTTTTTTGCGATATCGCAAAAAAGTTGACATTTCCCCACTGCGGTACAAATTTTAAAAATTCCGCGTCCGCAACGCGATTTTCCGCTTTATGAGAATTAATGCCTCTTCGGAAAAGCCGATTCGATAAACCCGATATCACTTTGTCTCTTTTTGAAAGGGTTCATTAAAGAAAGATAAAAAACAAACAACTGAGATCGAGTTAATCGGATCAGCGTATCCGTAAAGGCCCATTATTGTCTTGCCTCAACAACCACCCCACTCCAATCGTGGGCGTTTCGGCTTTTCCGGCACATCATTCTCCGTTTCGTACGTAGGTACTTGTAGTAGATATTTCCCTTTCGAGAAAATGGCGTACGTATGTGCGATTTGTGACTTGCTTCGTCGACCGCTGACGCAGCTTTTGTTACTAGAGGTAAAAAGACACTGATTGGAAAAAGTAAATACCTATCTTGGCGAACAGGAAATTCAGAGTAGTGACAACATTTCAAATTAAAAATTTTCAACTGTCAATATTTCCAAAATAGTTGAACTTAGGTATTAAAATTTTGTACCAAAATGTATGGGATTAAAAACCCTCCAAAATGATGTATCATTTGACCCCCCTTCAATTTAAGATTTTCTAGGGGATGGCTCTGGGGGCTGGGAGGAGGTGAATTTTGCATAAAAACTCATCCCCCTCAAATTATAGTTGACGTGTCTCAGGGATTTTTGCGTAAATTTTTTCCCTCCGAGATAATAGGGGTGGTAAATTTTAGAATGAACACCCTGTAGAAGAGTTAATAATGTCAATTAGTTCAGAGTTCAGGTATTGTGGCCAACAGTGACGTTAACTGCGACAAAGCTGCCGAAATAGGCGAGAAAGTGCTAAGTAGAATTATTGGTAGGTACCAAGTACAATATCTTAAGTTTTAAGCGTAATAATAAAGTGAAATCGCTTTCATCAGGAATATCCTCGAAAAAAATTAAGGGTGAACAAATTACTGTATACCCTGCACTGCTTTCTAGTAGAATACTTTGCTCTGCATTGTCTCCTGAAGAGATAAAACTATGTTTTAGGTATGAATTAGCTTCAAGTTCTCCTAGTTTGTTTGACAACGGATCATTACGAAAAACCACCAAGTCAACGTTATACAAATTCTTTGACAAGCTTCACCAACCATAACTTCAGAATCCAGATTCCATAACACAATACGTAATAGATGGAGGGCATTTGCTTCACAAAGTGGTCTGGCAAAGCCCAGCAATATTTTCGGATCTATTTTCTCAATACCACAATTATATAAACTATCATTATGGTCAAAGTGTCACTGTTGTTTTTGACGGCTATGGAGAAATACAGACCAAAATTGTAGAGCAAAATCGCAGGTATTTGGGTAAAAAAATGGTACCAGTTGTATCTTTTTCGAATCTATCTGCAGTGAAGATACCAGAAACAGATTTTTTGTCAAACAGCACTAATAAAAGCAACTTCATACGTTGTCTCGGAAAAATGTTGGCCGAAAATGAAATAAATGTCAAATTCGCTAATGGCGATGACGATAATCTTATAACGTATTTCATTGGTAGAGCAAGTGCAGCACTGGTGCAATATTCGTGATCCATTGGCAGAGTCGCGCTGCACTTTTGTATTTCATTGAGAAAGCAATGGAGCGAGTTTTGCACCGAGTGCTGCTAGTGCACCACCGGCTAAAAAGCTCGTGTCGCACTCAGTGCAGTTGTTTATTGTTATTTTTGAAATTGAGGTTATTGGTGGTTGATGGTTTTTCATACAAAAACAGTTCGAAATTTTATTTTTTTATTGTTTTTTTTTATATTTGTCTGCGAATCTACTACCAAAAATGTCAAAAATCGCTTGTTAATGGCAATTGCGTTGATGGAAAGTAGCAGCAGCAGTGAAACCGGGTCCGTTAAGCTGGTCCCCCCGCATTGATTTTTTTCTTCAAAACGCTAGCACACGATCGTTAGAGCTAGCACAACCTAGCACTAGCTGTTGTAGAGCTAGCACAGTCATAGTAACAAAAATATATCCTAGTTAGTGCGGGGGGGGGGCAAGTTAACGCTAGCCCCCCCCCGCATTGTTTCAAGGCGCCATAAAGCTAGCACAGCTTCTTTGGAGCTAGCACAGGCTAGCACAATAAAAAAGAATGCTAGCACAACTATTCGTTTTAAAATAATGAGGCACAAATGCGGGGGGGCCAAGTTAACGTTTGGGATTTTTTGGGAGTTGGCCATGAAAACTGTTATGGAAGCTTGGTAAATAGCTAGCACAACCTAGCACAACCATTTTCAGATCAATCTGAGTTTTGGAACCGAAGTTATTCCCTAATTTATGCAGGGGTGGGGAAAGTTAACGCTATTCCCTTCCTTGTCCGTTTTTAAGTCGCTTTAATGCTGGCACAGCTTCATTTGCGTTAGCACAGCCTAGTACAACAAAAAAGAATGCTGGTACAAGTAGGTATACTTTCATGATAATTAGGCCATAATTGGGGGCGTGGGGGGTTTTCAACCTTTGGGGATCTTTTAGGGATTTGTCATGAGAACGGTTATAGAACTGTGGTTAGTAGCCAGCGCAACGCTATAGCCTAGCACGTTCATTTTTCAATCAACCCAAAATTTAAATATAGAAATTATCCCCTAATTTATGCAGCGGTCGGGATAGACCTCTATCGCTTTACCCTTTCTCGTCCGTTTTTAAGTTGCTTTATTTACTTTTTAATCAATCATTTACATACCTATACTATTTTCAAAGTCAATTGGAACAAGGTAACAACTGGTGGCTGACTGGTCACTGATAATGTTCATAAGAAATGCACTGCCACTAGTCTGCCACCAGTTATACGATTTACTTTTACCTTGTTCAAATTGACTTTGG